ACAACAACAACAGCAGCAGCAGCAACCCATGCACAACAACAATAACTACAACATCATAAAACAACAACAGCAACAAAAAGTGCGTCTCGATGTGAAAAATGCAGAGCTCTGCCCGCCCTGCAACGAAGCCAACTCCAAGCTGAAGGCCATCTCCATGCTGGATCTGAGCATGATGGTCAATAATCGCCAGTCCCAGACACTCTCCTCCCTGCTCGCCAGCACCAGCACCAGCAACAGCAGCACTAACAGTCGCAGCGGCAGTGGCAGTGGCAGCGGCGGCGGCACATCGCCAACAGCAACGGTGAGTCAATGAGTGCATCCATTCCTCCATATTAGTGAGTCATCAGCACAAGAACAATCTTGCAAATTTGCCGCGTGCTAAACATGCAACTTTTTATCATGCTAACGTCTCTTATCAAAACTATGCATTACCTAGCACATACATACAAAGTACAGTGGTAACTCGCTGGTGTGGACAATGCGCTTATTCGAACACTCTCTTCATGCTCAGTCGAGAATCAAAAATCTTGCTTTTCAAATCTATGTTTGCTTTAATAACACAAACATATCTCTGCCTATATATTTGTCTTTTATACTTTTGTATAAGTCTAAAATATGAATAATACGAATGCACCCATTCCTCCATATTAGTGAGTCATCAGCACAAGAACAATCTTGCAAATTTGCCGCGTGCTAAACATGCAACTTTTTATCATGCTAACGTCTCTTATCAAAACTATGCATTACCTAGCACATACATACAAAGTACAGTGGTAACTCGATAGTGTAGACAATGTGTTTATTCGAACACTCTCGTCATGCTCAGCCAAGAAGCAAAAATCTTGCTTTTCAAATCTATGTTTGCTTTAAAAACAGACACATATCTATATCTATGTACATATGTATATACTTGTCGCTTGTACTTTTTTATATGTCTAAAATATGAGTAATACGAATGCACCCATTCCTTCATATTAGTGAGTCATCAGCACAAGAACAATCTTGCAAATTTGCCGCGTGCTAAACATGCAACTTTTTATCATGCTAACGTCTCTTATCAAAACTATGCATTACCTAGCACATACATACAAAGTACAGTGGTAACTCGCTGGTGTGGACAATGCGCTTATTCGAACACTCTCTTCATGCTCAGTCGAGAATCAAAAATCTTGCTTTTCAAATCTATGTTTGCTTTAATAACACAAACATATCTCTGCCTATATATTTGTCTTTTATACTTTTGTATAAGTCTAAAATATGAGTAATACGAATGCACCCATTCCTCCATATAAGTGAGTCATCAGCACAAGAACAATTTTGCAAATTTGCCGAGAATCAAAAATCTTGCTTGCCAAATATAGTTTTACTTTAAAAACGCAAATACACATATTTTTTTAAAATATAAGTTTAGCATAAAATATGAGTAATACGAATGCACCCATTTATCCATCTAACTCTTGCAAATCTTGAAAGACACAGCCACTCGTAGCTACTAATTGTCAGTACATATGCAATCGTATATTCTTATTCTCATTAACAAATGCAACATACGTTCTTCTTAAGAAGCTACTTGACATACATAAGTATATGTCATTGGAACTCTAGAGATTATTTCAAACCTTCTTATAATCGTTCTTGTTCTTCAGTTATTTCACCATAAATACTTAGGCAAATGCTTAAACTATTTATTGTAATTAGCGCAATGGAATTTAATCAAGCGCGGCCTTTTTATTAACACCTTATCTTGGAGCATGGGTTTATAATTATCAGTTGTTGTTGTTGTTTTTTATAAGCCCATCTATTTGAGTTCAATGTTCTTTCGATGGATATACTTGTACATATGTTTTTTTAATCGAATGATGGGAAGTCATTGAATTGATCATAAAACGTTTGTATGTACTAAAGTAGTCTTCTGAAGGGAAGTAGGAAATATTTTTCACATAGAACCTTCTAAGAACTGTTTGCTAGCGGATAAATATTGGTCCCAACATGTCAAGTTTTTTCAGAATTTATTTTAAAATTTTATAACAGCTGGTGTAAAACAGTTTTGAAATTATTATAATATTATTATTATTATAATTTTAAATCTTTATTCTTTATTTAAGATCTGTCCCAAGGAGAACAAGGTTTTCAGATAATGAGAATAAAATGCTTGCTTAATACTAAGTTTTTCATTAAAATCGTAGCCAAAATACTGCTTACTAAGAAAATTAAAAAATAATAATTATATTTTTACCAAAGAAGTCTAAAATGGACATTCTGTGGAAAAAGAAACTTTTTGGGAGTATTGAAATTTGTTTACTTTTATGGACGTATAATTCTTACTCTTTACAATTTGAAATTTTGAAATTCTCCTTCCATTTTGGATCAATTTAAAATTTTTGAGGAGAAGCCAAAAAATTGTTTACAAAAGAATAATATTTATATTATTACCATAAAAGTCTAAGCTACGTATGTGGAAAAAGAAATGTTCTTTTCCAATACCAATATTGTAACTCCCATTTAAGACTCTATGGCTGGAAAGCTAAAGACGCCGTCATCGTTGGCTCTTTGCGCATATTTGATGTTCAAAAATTTCCCTCTAGACTGTCTGGCTATCAATTTGTTTTCTATTCCAGCACTGTTTTTAAATATTTTGACTAAAATCTAACATAAGCAAGATTCTTAAAAATCTAAAAAATTTTAATTATAGTATATTCCAAGACTGTTTTTGAAATGCTTATTTGATGTTCCCTCCTCCCATTTGAGACTCGATTTCCATTTAGCTGGAAAGTCTTTGCTAAGAGACTGTGTAATTCTTCATCTTAATTCGATGCCCAAAATTTCACTCTGGACTGTCCGTTTGTCTGTCTGTCTGTCTGTCTGTCTGTCTGTCGCTTGTAGAGACGGCTAGACTATCGTTTATTGCTCATTGCTCGGACTCTTTAGTTCGGTTTCTAAACACTCTAGTATGTGGTGTGCATTGTTTTCTGGTCGCTGTCATCCAAAATTTGCATAGCAGCAGAGAAAGTTGTTGGAACACGTTTTGATCTCATTGTGTTGATTGCTGCTGTTTTGTATTATAATCATTGTTGTTGCTATTGTTGTTGTTATTATTGTTGTGCGTGCGTGTGTGTTTCAGAAACAGAAAACAGTTTTCGAATTCCGGCCAAATAAATCGACAGTTGATGTTGTTGTTGTTGTTGTTTTTGTTTCATGTCTTTTGTGCATTAAGTTGAAAATAATTGAATTAAAAATGCGGAAATTTTGTGGCCATTTATTAATAAATGCATTTTGTTTTATTGCTTATGTTGAAAAAATTAAATAAGAAGACGCCATCATCTTCACTCTTTTTGTAAACTATTAGTGGTTGTTTTCTTCTTCAAGTTGAAAATACTTGTACAGATAATTCTGTTTTTACGCGGTAGATTGGTTCCAGAAACAGCCGTGTAAAAAAAGACATGGATCATATGCAAAAATAGGTGATTGGCTCCTTATCTCTAAAGAAATATACATTAAATTTGTGTTTTTCAAACCGTGTTATATCAAAATCGTGTAAAAAAAGAAAACAGAATTAGGGGTCTGGCTTCAATTTATAAATTTAGGGGCATGCCAAAAAAGTTAGGTTCCCTCCTTTGTGGCTCCAGTGAATCATATTTTTGGCTCTTTCGTGATTTTAAACTTCTTTTGAAACTGCAGTTCGACTGATCTGTAGTATCTGAAATCGAAGGCTCAAAATACTTCAAATTATTATTGGTTGTTTAATGAATAGGTTTCTTGAATTTAAAATTTCTTTTCCGCCCTCAGATTTGTTAAATTTTTAACCGAACTGAAAACTAGCAAGTACCAATTAGATTCTATATGTTATCAAGTACTATCTTCCCTCTGGCATATTTATAAAAAGTGTATATTTTGTATACGTTGTATCCGCAGTGTTGAAGCCCTAATGTTTTCGATACAAGAACCAGTAGATGTAGACCTATTAGTTCATCATTAGATGTGAGAGAAGCATCATCATATAGTATATATACATAATGGAAGTATAAACGTTCTCTACAGACTCGGAAGCCGCTTAACTGATTTTAATCAAATTTTGTGGCAATATTCAAAATGCAACTAATTCTGATTTTACACGGTTTGAAAATTAAAAATTTTATAAATCGTGCAACCGATTTTATTTCATTTAGCACGATTCAAAATAACATGATAACTTTTTATGGAACCGATTTACCGTGTAAAAACAGTATTAGGTGTAGTCCCTAGTTTCGTGGCACAGAATTTTTTTTCGATTTTTCTAATTTTTTTTATAGAATTTTGGTTTTCCCTATAAATTATTACAGTAATGGATTTTTTCGATTTTCCTTCAATTTTCTTTTGTTTTAATATGAAATTAATTTTTGTTTTTTTTTTTTAAATGTAAAACCTTAATTATACTGTTAGTATTTACAACAACTTAAATTAAATGAAACTTATAGAAAAATACAAATACAGCTTAAACTAGGAGTATTATTATGAAAGTAATGAATTCCGTTTGGAACTTGATTTATGCCGTGCAAAAAAAAGAAGATTAAAATAAAATTTGTTTATATATTCATTGAAACAATTCGAAAATGTTCATTAATTAAATAGCACAAATCTACATACTTATGTACGAATTTGTATGTTTAACCATATATAGTATTCATTCTACTATATAGTATGCTCTCGGAACGCACCAACCTAACCAATTTGCTGTTAGGAATTTAAGAAGTTACAAGTATATTTAGAGTGTCGGAAGAGAAAAATCGCTTTTTAATGTTTTTTTAATTTTAAGCAAAAATACTTAGCCCAGCAAAAACGGGGGCAAGACCTGCTAGTTCCACACAAACTCTATTTAGTAAAGCTCTGTTGTCCCAACCGTTTGAGCATGCTTTCCACTTGCTGTGACAGGAGCATGATTAGGATTTGGGAACCGTGCCACAAAATGATGGAAGTAGGACTGGAGACCATTTACCATTAATTGAAATGAAGACCATTAACCATTAATTGAAATTGTTAACAAATAAATTTTTTTTATTGCTTATGTCAATGCCAAAAAGATTGAAGTTTCGGTTAATGTGAGGGCATTCGAAAAATGAAAGCAAGCCTATCATCGCCACATCTCGATTATTGTTCGCTGTTTGCCGCATCGGAGGGTGTTGGAGGTTTCGGATTCGGATTCGGTTTCGGATCCGACTCGGTTTCGGCCTCAGTTGCCTTGGCCGGCAGCGCAAAGCCAGGCTCGGTCTGGTACAGTATTTTGAGGACATCCTTGCTGGCCATATTTATTGTGGTGTGGCCGCGCGCCAATTTCTCGATCTGAGTCAGCTTCCTCAGATAGAAGTCGCGCTCTTGCCGCATAGTTACCTTCGAGTTGGCGATTTCTCCGGCCGCTACCTCTAACTTGGCCTTCTCCTCCTCCACAATCTGCAGCAGCTCCATCGAGGTCTGTGTGCCTTGGTGGCACACCTCTATTGTGGGGGTGCCTATCGAGATGAGCTCGTAATTGCGACGCAGCCGCGGATTGTAGCCCTTGGTATCCAGCTTGCCGCCGCGCCCCTTCTCCACCTCGCGAAAGAACTTATAGAAGCGTTTGGCGAAGCACAGATTCTCATGAAAGTCGCCGCGTACTATATGATGCAACGGTATCTTGATGGGTATGCCCAGTGCTTTGAAGGCCTTCAACAGAATATGAAAATTGTTTTTAAAATGTACAATTTGGTTGCTGGTGAATCGGACTTCATTCAGAGGCACCGAGTTCACGAACAATAGATCCAATAGTTGACAATATGCGGCGCCCGATGATAACTCCTCTATATGGTTTATATGTGCCTGTAGCGCCCGATTAACCCAACGAACCAGTTTCTTTGCAATCAATAATTCAGCGAGGGGTGCCATTCTTGTACTGGGCTGTTTAACAATAACTAAAAAAATATATAGAAAAATATATTACTATTATTAATAGTTTTCAAAAGAACGATAAAACCAAACAAAATTAAGCATACAGCTTATAATTTATGTATAAATATAAATGTATATGAAATATTCTTTTAGAATTCAGAGGAAAAATTGTTGAAGAAATTTGATGAAAAGAATTGAGAACCCCAGATAGCTCGCTTAATGGGTTCATCTTTTATTTTATGTTATTTTTTATTTTATTTTACTTGTATACTCGATCAATTCTTACAATAATTATATGTATAGTACTTTATGGAAAGTCGGCGATTAGTCGATCATAGGGTCAGGCCAGATCTGATTGCATTTAAATTTTGTACTTTGTACTTTAATGATTAATTTCATGGACTTCCAGCATAGTTCTAAGCCTAAAATCAAATTGAAGTGCACCTTAATCGTAATATCGGCGCAAGTCCCACATATTTGTGCTAAAATGAATTAGTGGAATTGTGGATCGACAGCGAACAAGTCAAAAAATCAAGAATCGCAGCAGCGAATGGAAGCCATCTGCGAGATGGAGGCGTTCATACAGACGTACATACGGAGAGGTGTATTTTAATTGACATCTGTAGTACAGGAAGAAGTCGCTCTGATTAGAATGTGTCAGAGGAGAGAGTAAGAAAGTAGTCTGAGAGATAGAGGTGTTCATGAGGAAGGCATGAACTTTAAATGGGCATGAGAATGAGGGGTATGAATGAATAGTTTTTGTTTAAGAGTTAATCGTTGGATTTATTCTACGACAGTTACACGATATAGTAGACATACCAAAAATCAAGAATACTAGCAGTTTAAAGCAGCAGTTTAAGAAAACGAGGCGTTCATACAGACGGACATAAGGAGGGGGCGTGAATGAATTCATTTTTAATTTTGATTGTCGCCATGCGTTGCCATCTCGATGTCTGAATAAAGACGTTCTCTTACAAGCGCACTCCTCTCATTACGTTTATTAAAATAAAAAATAATAAACAAACAGAAATCAACGAAATTCGGAAATGTGCAATAACAACATAAATAAAAAAAGAAACAGAACATCGATTGCGAAAGGGTGCAACACAGTGGCTTGCATTGTCTGCCTACGAAACGCAATGTCTTCCAAGTAGGGTTCGCTTCGCTGCTTCCAACCAACCGCATGCCGCATGGCGTTGAGGGGAGGGAAGGGGAGCGGTATTTAGAATTGCAATGCATTGCGTGTTGCTCAGTGGGTCGCTCGTTCGCTCGCTCGCTGCAGCTCATGACTAATCACAAATTATGCCATTCACAGTCGCAATCAAACAATCACACACACACACACATACTTAAATCTGCTGGTTGGCTTAAAGCGCGCACGCGTTTTGCGCGCGTTTTTTGTCGCCCAACAAGACAGCACAAGCCATTAGTGATGCGACTTAATATCGATAACTAGATGACAAGGTGTAATATAATATAGTAGAAATAGGACTGGTGAGACGACACTGTATAGTAGAATAAGCAGCACCGATTTTACGAAAAATATGTTTGCTTAAATGAAAAAATGTTTTTTCTTTTTTTCTTTCATAGTTGTTTACATTATTAAACGGGAAGAAGAACGACCTTACCTTAACACATAATACCCAAAGTCTTTAACTATACTCAGTGGTAAAAATTTATATTAGGGTTTTGCAACTCCGACTTCATATAAAAATAAAATATAGGATATTCTTAGGCAGCATGAGTCCGTCTATCTTTCCGTCAGTCTGTCTGTCTGTATGAACGCCTGGATTTTGGAAACGGCTGATCCCATTCTAATTCAACTTGGCATACAGACTCTTCTTATCGCTAGGCAATATGAGTTTCTTTTATATTTTAGATTTTCAAGTCCTCTTCAAGTCCTTCATAATACCCCCTAAGAGCTAGACAGTTATTCTCATTCCATTCGCTCATATCTAAGTATTTTGGAAAGTTGATGTTGCAGCAAGAGCGCCAGTTAAGTACCTTCTAATTGCGTAGAATTTGTGCGCACATTCCTGATATCACTAGATCCATTAAATCGCATTCCTGAGTTGTTTTCAAATATATTTATCTATTGCTAGCGCTACCTAAACGCACACAGGAATTACACAGGAAGTTGTAGCAAGATGTGGAACTGAACAGACACAACTTCGCTTGATCCGAGAAAATGTGCTTTACATTTTTTCTGAATGCCAATAGTGCAACAGTCAAGGGCAGAAAACCCTCTCAGCTCTCGGGACCCATCCACCTGCTCCCTTTTCCCCAAATCAAATCAAGTATTGGACATGAATTATTATTTGGCTTATATATAGTAGTATGATTATTGTTCCATTTAGCTCTGATTACTATAACTTATCCGTCTTTATAATTACTTCTAAGCTATCCATAAATAAAATGTCCAGAAAGTTCAAAATTGAGTTCAATTTTCTGGAAGTACGGACCTTTGCGGTACATGGTTGATCAGAAACATCGTGTTGTTTCGACACATCCCTAGTGTTGCACACATGTTGCACATTGCGGCAGTTTTCAGTGTTGCACACGCATTAAGGCGACTCTTTCAACTGTCGGTCGGATTCCCGACACACTGCTCATCGGTTCGTTGACTGCCTGCCTGCCGTCTGTCTCTCTGTCTCTTCAGCAATTTGAGAAGCGCTCTGCGTGTAAAACAATTTTGCCATAAGTGCAGCGACACACACAAATATAGTATACTATATACATATGTATATATACTTGTACATATATATGATTTGAATTTATTTATGCATTCCATTTTCTTGCTACAATTCGCCCGCCACTTGACGAGTCGCGGCACAAATTTCTCTTTTGATTTTATTTTCTTTGTTAATGCATCACAAGTAGTTGACTGATTGACTGACTGACTGCCTGCCTGGCTACCTACTTGAATGATTGACACTTGAGCTCTTTTAACACAGACACACACACACACATACATACATGTGTAAAACATTTAAAGCGTTTCAGATACAAGTTAATGAACATTTAAATTCGAGTTCATAAAAATAAATAAACAAAAAAGGTTAAAGTTCACATAAATTGATAATTTTGTTCTTGCTGTTCTCGGCTATATGTTTTAAAAGCGAATCGGAGTAATATTTGAAATTATTGAAAAAGATTTCAATATTGCTTTAGTCTTTTATATTTTACTTCGTAAAGTATTGGAATTGTGGGATTACCCTCTTAAAAAAACTCACTTATCAATACTTGATTGATCGATTCATTTGTAAGAAAAATTGTGTTAGGCTTGGATCTAAGGTTAAGGGAAAAAATCGGATAATTTTATTGTTTTTTTTTGTAGTTGTTGGAAAATTGAAAATGCAACTAAGGTTGCTGAAATTGTGGTCATACTTTATGGTGTTAACCAATACTATCTCATCTAATTAGCGTCATTTTAGTTAAGACAATTCCCTATTGCGATAAAAAAGGTTTTAAATCACTCAAAATAAAAAACTGTATTTAAAAAGAAACTCAATGCATAGGTGCTACAGGAATTCTCGTAAAAAAATCATAATGGATGGACTATGAAATTGTTTATGTTGTTTGCAACTCTTTTAAATATTATTGTATTGTATCATTTTTTTAAGGTCTGTAAATAAATTACTGATTCTAAGAACTTGGAACTGGAACAGGCCTTCAAAGTATTTTCCAACACTTTTAGTTTGTTTTATACCCAACTCCCAGCAAGTTTCGATAATAGATCTGTAAAGTAGTTTCCAACACTGAAAGTCAACTCTTGGCAAATTTCGAGAATAGGTTTTCAAAGTAGTTTCCAACACTCTCAATTGCCAGAAAGGTTTTGCTGTGCATTTGTTGAGACTGGAAAGGCTGTTCCTATCCGACCTATTCTCCTAACTATTTAAGACCAGACGAAACAGATCAATAATAAAACACGCTGTAAGCTAAGGGAACTTGGTTGGGAGATTTTAATGCATCCATTGTATAGTTCAGTTCTTGGAACAAATCAATATCTAACCGAAATCGGGCTTCCATTATACAATAAATATAATTTGAAAATAGCTTAAAAAATACAGTCTTTTTTCCCAACCCAATATTTATACTATATATCCCATAAATGTTTATTCAATTCTTTTACTCACGTTCGGTTGATAAGTTGGGTTAGTCAGGAAGCTTTGGTTAGCGCTCAGGTCGTTCGAGCCTATGCCGGGACTGCCAAGGACACCTTATATTCCTGCTGCTGTTCCAAATGAAATCAGATGAAAGAAAACACAATCTGAAGAGTTGTTTAAAATTTACCAAAATCTGCCCTAGACAGATCGATAGCCAAGTTCAGCGTACTTTGTCGTCGTACAATCGAATCACTCGAATAAGCGATTATCTGGGACAATTTCTTGTGTGTTTTAATAAATTGATTGATTGCCACTATATATCGTTTTTCCTGAAGGTTGTCTTGCAGTTATCGGTTCAAGTGACGCAATAGAGGATATGTCTAAAAACTGAAGAAAAAAAAACATAAATTTATGAAAATATGTTTTAAAACGGAAACAAAACGACAGCAAAAATAAATATAGCTACAAATTATGATAATTGGGGAATTGAAAAGGCTTTGTGAGTTCCATTCTCTGTTTTAATTCCACTTAGATAGGCCGATGAGTCATGCTTTTAGAAAAGAAACGACCACCATATACCAATAAATTTAATTTTATTGCAATTTAAGGCAATGCCAATGATGGGCCACCATTTGAGACCCAGAGAGTCACAACAGCTTTAGCCTCTCAGCTTCGGTTTCGACTGTCGCCTTTGATTAAAACTCATTAAAAAAAGGCGTAGCATAATAATAATAATCATAATAATAACAACAACCACAACAATAACCCTAGCAGCAACAATGAGAACGAAATTCTTATTGGCAGCGCCGCGAAGTGAATGCGAAGTTGCACCGTGGGTGGAATTGGCATTGTATTCTATAGAAATACAGACTCCCATCATATAGGAACATATTCTATATAAGAATTGTTTGGACACGCATTGATACATGAATAAGTTTGACTCTCTGTTCGACTGTATGAACGGAAAGAACTTCTTAGCCATAGCAGCTAGGGAATAAAAACTTCGTATATAGACTTATTTATAAGCAAAGCAAGTTTAATATATATCAATCAATCTATAGCCCCATTATTTTATATAGCTGCCATAGGAATGATGGGTGTAGCAGTCAAGCTTAGTACCAGAAACTTTTGTGTTTATGAAGATATTTTGACAAAATCTGGTATTTATGAGTTGTTATAGAGTGTTTCAAAATATTATAATCATCCATTCATATCAGTCATTTATGAGTTTTTTATAATGCTTCAAAATATTCTAAAATTCCATCAAAATTGGCGCACTATATCATATATCCGCCATAGGAATGATCGGTGTAGAAGTCAATCTTTATACCAGAAACTTTTGTGTTAATGAAGATATTTTGACAAAATCTGGCATTTATGAGTTTTTTATAATGCTTCAAAATATTCTAAAATTCCATCAAAATTGGCGCACTATATCATATACCCGCCATAGGAATGATGGGTGTAGCAGTCAAGCTTAGTACCAGAAACTTTTGTGTTTATGAAGATATTTTGACAAAATCTGGCACTTATGAGGATTTTTTAGTGCTCGATGACAGTCTGAAGTTTCATTAAAGTTTCGTCTGACTCGGCCTGGCACGTCTTTAATGTAAACGACTGGAAGTTTACTTTTACCAATTTTTGCTACAAATTGTTATTATCAGCCCCACAGTACGCGGTATTGTCGTCGTCACCAGCGACTTCTCTACTCATTACAGAAAACGATGCTACTGGGAGGCTGAGGCCTGATGACACCCCTTTTCTTTTTCCATCATCACTCATCGAACAACAACAGCAAGAACAACAACAACAAACGAAACAGAAAGAATGAACGACGAACATAGCCGTACCCGCAGAAAAACGGAAATTGAGAGCGAAAAATACATAAATATGGCAAATGTTCAATGTGCGACTGAGTGCGCGATATCTTTTCCATATAAGCACTATATAGTATGTTGAGGGAGCTGCCGTTTTTCCTTGTCCCTAGCTACAACAACAACAACAACAACAACGGACAACAATCATAACAATAACAACAACAATTGCGCTCATTGTGCTTAATTAATTTAGTTCAAAGATCAAGCGTCGACGATGCGTGCCTTGCAATTCTACTTCCTCTGCCAGCCCGCCGCCGATCTTGCCGAGAACTTACCGAGCTGACTGAACAACTGCAGCTGCAAAGCACAGATGTTGTATATATCTTCTATATAGATACATACTCGTATGTATATATGTATATACATACATATACATATGCCATTTAGTCCATAAAACTGGGGGGGCGCAACAAAACTCCATTTGTAGTTCATTTGACGTTCTAGTTATAAAACATTTTCTCCTAACGGCTCGCCAGAGCGTCTTTGTATGTTTACGTGCCCCCAACAACATATGCTTCAGTGCTGTCCACCGCTTTAATCTTGGGCATGAGGAACAACAACAACAACAACAACAGCAATAACAAGTAATAATAATAAACTTCAATTGGTAGAAGAAACTCGGCCATCAATGAAAATTGTAAAGGAATATACTACGACGAAATGGGATGCAAAAACTAAGTTTTAGAAGGCATCCGAGTGAAAAAAATTCCGTAAAGTATACACTTTGAACAATATTTAAAAAATCATATTCATTTTTGAAAAAACAATTCTTTATACTTTGGGGTAATATTTCGGATCTGATGGATAGGTAAAAGAGTAGATCGGAATGGGGAGAGGAAACTTCCCACAGACATGATTTGCCAGTAACATGAATGTTAATGCACGACAAAGGTCCAAAGCAATATTTTCAAATCCTTTTTTTTCAAAATTCTTTTAGGTTAAATATTTTAACGACGCGTAGTATTTGGTAGTGATTAATTAATTCATTAATTTAATTTTCTTTAATGTAATTTGTTATCACTCTGATTCTAAGTATACTAGTTTTTAAAGATAATGAAATTTTTTTTTTAGAAAAGTGCTTTTTACTTTATTTGGAAAAATTTTTATATGTAGTTCAACTTCTCCATTCAATATTAAAGGTTGCAAATCCTCTTCTTTATATGACTAAATTAATTGCTGTTTTCCATGTGAGAACATTGTGAGAATATGTATTTTAGTATTAAAGTTAGGAATCAACTTTATATGATCTAGGTTTTGAAAAATTGGGCCTCCAAAATGAAGGAAAACGGGCTTCAATTGTCTTCAAAATGACTTTTAAATTCGGACACAAATCCCCTTGTACAGTGCTAAGAATCGATTATGAAAAACTCTTATCTCAAAGGGGGTGAAAGACGTTCCAACGTTTTGTATGAAAATTTCGCACTTACGCTTGGTTTTCATACCAAAAATAATAATTGAACTATTTGAAATTTGGAACGTTTGAAATTATTAAATTTTTTATTTTTTTTTTGGCAATCAGCCTTTTTAGGTTTAATGCGTAAAAAGAATGTAGATTAATAATCTGCTTGGGAAAAGGCTCTTCTGTAACTATAGGCTTTAATTATTGATGGTTATTCAAACATTTCACAGTAAAGTTTTTCGCAATAAATTCAATGTAAGTCCTCATTTTCATCAATATGAGCCGTTTGCAAAAATTCTCAAAGGGCTCTGCTGAGCTTAGATAAATATTTTTGCAATGCAGCAAGAAAAGTTGTTTGTTTTTGTTTCCGCCGCCCATTGCTACATATGTATATGAACATACATACATACATACATATGTACATATGTGTGTGTACATATGTACATACATATGTATATATGTTAGTCTACATAGAAGGCTTGGTGGTCAGATACTGCCCTGCCTAGGCTGTTTGATAAATGCAAATACGACTAGACAGCTGATTTGTGCAAGAACTTTTTGAATTTTTATCATTTTACAGTTGCATATTGATAAGGTAGGGGGGGGGGGTAGGTAGAGGGGGTGGTTTGACGACTGAAAGTGCATTCAATATTTCTAAAGCAACCTGCTGTTGCGTCGCGCAATTTCTCCCACCCCCTCTCAGCAGACGGCTGCCATTTCGCTCTCCCTTTCTGTCTTTCCCTCTCTCTCTTTCGCTCCCGCCTTGGGCATCATTGGCGATCCATATGAGTTATGCTTAATTAGGCAAGCAAGTCAGTGTGTGTGAGAGAGGGGAGGGGGCGGCATATGGCAATTATGCCGAGCATAACAACAAAGCGTCTTTGTTGCGGCAGCGCAGTCGGCAACATCGCCGCGAGCGACGACGTCGCTGCTGATCCGCCACGCCCGGCACTGCCCAATAAAGAACAAACTAACAAATGATGGGTCGGTCTTCAGATAAGCGCCGAAGCTTACATGCTTTACATTTTTGGATTTTTTTTTTTGTCAATTGGGAATGGGATAGTGCATTATGGAAAAGGCTATAAAAGGACGTATAGTGTTGAGAGCTAAGGATCTTCAAGGGTAGAAGTATTATCGAGCATTAACAATGCCCGATTAATATTTGTTTGATTTCTTCGATTATATTTAAGTATTATGAAATGAGTCTATCTTTGATTGGAAAAATGAGTTCGTTTCAGTTTTGCATTTTAATCGATTTGTTTCGGTTTTTTGCTATTAATATTTCTTTAATTTCTAGGATTTATTTATGTAATATTAAATTAATTAATTGTTATGTAGATGTTCGGAAAAAGTTTAAGTTTCTCCTCCTGCTCGAAACAACAAAATCGCAGACTTATTTACCTAACACTTTTAATTGAATATACATATAAACAATTTCGTTGAAGTTTTGTTTTAATATAAACCTAATAATAAAAGATCTTGTATATAAATAGATGTGTTGTTAGGATTTCTACTGATAATTAAATATGAAAACTTTTACTATAACAGCTCTTTATAGAATACAAGCAACAGGCTTTTCAGCGAAGAGCCAAAGACTTTAAAATACTTTTCATACTCTTTATGGGTAGGGTGCACAAATCCAAGCCCAGTGGGCTCAGCACTCACATACATAGGAATGGAATTTTGTTGTAACTCTTTGTTTTTTTACATTACACCCCACACACGCACACACACACACACACACACACACACATACGCACACACTCACGCATGTAAACACCCATAGTGTTGTGAACACATGTGACGCAGCAGCTCAGTCGACTGCAGGCGACCACCCGCTCGTTTCTGGATCTGTTGATTAGCGTCCATTTGGGTGAAGGGGTCGACGTCGTCGCTAGCATCGTCAGGGCAGCAGAGTAGAGCAGAGCAGAGTACCAGCTCAGAGCAGCGTCTCCGTCTCCGTCTGCGTTTGCGTCGACGTCGACGTCATCACCACCCAAAGAAAATGCGCGGCCGCATCTTGAGTTCAATTTAGTTGATATTTTGTTAAATTCGCGAACGCGTCGACAGCCGGCACGACTACGGGACTCCTCTGGTGCGCCGCAACTCCT